GGATTTCTGAAAAATTGGCAGGCTAGCAGGGATTATTTGCGGAATTTGTTTTTAATTTTAGGGGAATTCTCCGAAATTTCAAAAATGGCAAACTAGCAGAGATTTTTGAGGAATATTTATGCTTAATTTAATTCTTTCTATTTTCAGGAGGTGGCGCTGCTGAATCGCCTGGAGGGCTACGACGAGAGATACGAGACGCCAGACTGCCGAGAACCCCTCCCGCCGGCATCTATCCATCTCGTTGCCGCCAATTTTATCGACATGTTGCAGAGGGAAGGGTATACGGTATGTTTTTGTATTTGGAGAATGATTAAATTCACATTTTTAAAATGATCCAAATCCAATAAATCGTTGATGCGGTACTTGTGTATTCCCGGGGGGGAGGGGGGAACCAACTTTTTCCTGTCTGCCCCTGGTGGGGATAGTAATCAAATATAAAGTGTTTTCACATTGTTTTTAGCAAAATTTAAGTTTATTTGAATCGGAAAAACTTTTGAAAAAAATAGAAAAACGCTTGCAAAAGTCGAAAATTTGGTCATTTTTGGGCCGAAAAAATTGATTTTTCGACCTAAAATTAAATTTTTTAATTAAATTCTGTAACGTTTTTATGTTTAGGAATAGCTATAAACAATTTAGAAACACTCCCCCCCCTCCCCCGGGAATACACAAGAACCGTTGATGCATCCGCTGAAGAACTGTCGCAGAAATCGACTCAACCACCAGTATTTTCAAAACTCTTTTTTTGGGGGGGTTTCCGCACCTTTCCGAATTTCGAATCTTTAGATTCTTCAGGTTCTTTACAACTTTTCGTCTTTTCTGTCGAAATTATTAAATCTTACAAAAGCCAGGCTGTTCTTTCACAGGGCAACGTTTTTCTGCGTTTTTATGATTCCGAGTTCGACCAGAAAAGGGCGATTTTGGCAAAAATTCCGAGCTAATTTTTTTAAGTTATTGAATTAAATTAATTAATCATTTAAATTAAAGTTATTGAATAAATTGCTGATTTTCAGGCGACAACCTCGACGCTGCTGGCGAGTACGGCAAAAATTGTGGACGGTTCGGCGAAGGCGCAGGAGTACTGTAGAATTTGCGGATCGCCGGCTACGCAAAAAGAAAAGGTAAGGAATTTATTTTTTATTGTCCTTTATTTTTTGAATTTTATTTCGCATCATTTTTATTAAAGTTTTAGATAAAATTCTCAAATTTTGGAATCGATTACGAGATGGAATTCGGGGAAGGGAAAAGTTCAAAATCCGTGCAGGGCAGGCTAGCAGGGGCCTTTGTGGAAAACTGGGATCCCGGAAACGATTACGCCATCAAATTCGGGGTTCCATGGGCTCTATTTTTTTACTTGACGGTCCCTTTAAGATTCGAAAATGTGTCGATTAACAGCGATTTTTCGGGAAATCAGGGCTCCGGGAATCGGTTACGACATAAGATTCCCTCAAGGCTAGGCTTTATGTTGACTTGCCAGTCCCTTTAAACGTCCAAAATCTGTCCAGGGCAAGCTAGCAGAGCTTCTTTGTCGAATTAAAGGATTTCATTTGATAATAAAAATTTTGTTGCATAAAACGAAAATTGTAAATGAAAAAAAAAACTTTTTATATAATTTTTAAAATTAATTTAAAGTGGGGTAATTGAATTAAAAGCTTCAATTAATTAACCTAATAAATTGAATCTTTCATTTAATTGAAATGTGTTTTTTGCAGAATTCCGCGGCCCTGCTGTGCTACCCGTGCCGTCGATTGAGGGAGGAATGCTCGGAGAAGACACTTTTTGACCAGGCGCTTTGTTCTTGATTTTTTCGTGTTTTTTTTTGAGATTTTAGACATTTTTATTGTTGAATTGTGCTGTTTTGTTGAGCTTTTATTGCCAATAAATTGCTTTGATCAATATTATCGGTATCCTTAAAAAAAGCTGGTGACATTCGACTCGGCCTACCTGTCACTCCCCCTTTAAAATGCCATTTTCATGGCGTAATCGATTTCGCATAACAGCCGATTACGCTATGCAATTTTATCTGGACTTTCCCAGGCCAGGCAAGGCAGCAGCGATTATTTGGGAAAGTTTCCAAGCGCAGGCATTTTCATTGCGTAATCGGTTCCAAAACAATCGATTACGCTCTCAAATTCAATCGGGCAGTCCCGCTCCCTTTAAAATCGTAGTTTCGTGGCGTAATCGATTCGTGAAAACGGGTTTTTGAGGCCGTGAAAAGGCTATCAGCTGAGAAAAATAGAATCCCGTAAAAAACAAATGATTACGCGTTGAAATTCCAGCTGTCACCGTCCCTTTCAAATACCTTTTTTTAATATTCGAATTTTAATCGGTTTCTTAAAGCCGGTGGGGCTCGAAAATTGCGGTCTGTCGTTCAAAAAATATGCTTCAAATATCCGTGACTCAGGGGAGGTGCAGAGTGCTGGAATGCTGTTCCTCCTGCCCTTTTGTACAACCACCACGTCAGGAAAGCGAATTTTTAACCGTCACGCTGTCTTTAAAACGTCTCAAAAACGCAGTCTTTAAAATCAAAAAAATCACTGAAAAACCGGTCGTTAAAACCGATTACGCCATTAAATTCAAGCGGACTATTCATCTCCGACTTTCTCTTTCCTTTAAAAACGATGTTTCAAAAAAAGTACAGACTCTAGGGGTGTCTAGATTACGGTAATTTGCCTGACGCACCGTTTCCAATTAACAATTTGGTCGGCCTCGGCAGGCTAGCAGGGATCATTTGGGAAGAAGAATTTTAGGCCTAGAGGTGCAAGATTCTATTATTTTCCTCGCGTAATCGATTTCCCTAAAAAACGATTACGCTCTGAAATTCAGCACAGCCTGTCGCGCCGCATTTAAAATCGGATTTTGATAGCGTAACCGGTTTTAAGGACCCGGTGACGCGATGAAATTGTTTTTTTTGGCTAGGGCGTGAATTTGGAAAATGTTTCAAAAATCCGTGACTATTTTTAGGTGCAAAATAGGGGAATGCCCAGGGTTTGCAACTTTCTTTTCGCTGCACCGGTGTTTAAAACCGATTATGCAATGTAATATGCTGTCCCTCTGTCTTTAAAATCGGTTTTTAATAGCGTAATTGGCCGCAAGGATCCGGTTACGCCACGAAATTGTTTTCTTTAATCTGAGAACCTCGGAACTTTCTCCTTCCTTTAAAAAAGAAGTTTCAAGAAATGCAGACTCTCGGGGGGTCTAGAATACGGTAATATCGCGGATCCACTATTTCCAGTCACCAATTTCGACAGCCTCGGCAGGCTAGCACAGATTATTCGAGAAGACTTTTCGATCTGGAGAGTCTATCATTTTTCTCGCGTAATCGATTTCCCTAAAAAACGATTACGCTCTGAAATTCAACACAGCCTGTCGCGCCGCCTTTAAATTCATATTTTGATAGCGTAACCGGTTTTTAAGGAGCCAGTTACGCGATGAAATTGTTTTTTTATTGGTTTGGCTAGGGCGTTAATTTGGAAAAATGTTTCAAAAATCCGTGACGATAAGGAGGTGCCAAATTGGGGAATTCGGGCCGCTAGGTTACGCTATTTCAAATCAATTACGTAATGAAATATACTGTCCGTATCCCTTTAAAATCGGATTTTGATAGCGTAATCGGTTTAGGGAACCGGTTACGCGATGAAATTGTTTTTATCTAAAAACCTTGCCTCTCCTTTCAAATGATGTTTCAAAGATTCTTGACTCTAGGGAGGGGCAGAAGGAGGGAATTTTTTCAGTGAGTCCATTGACCGCCATTACCAATTTTTCAGCCAGGGCAGGCTAGCAGAGATTATTTGGGAGGATTTTCCACCAGATAGGGCCAAATCGGGATTAATGCAGGGCAACAAGTTGGAGTTTTGCGGTTTGCTGAAACTGCAAATTTCTAATTTTTTCCGAAACCGTTTGAAAAAATGTTACAAAAGTTGTATAGGTAAAGCGATTAATCCCGGTACTACTCTGCCTCAAAAATTTTCACAATATGGGCAGAGATTATTTGGGGAACAGTTGCTAGAGACTCGGAACTAAAGCAAGCCAAAAATTTGGAATTTTGAGGACTTCTGAAACATTAACTTTATAAATTTTTTGCAGAAAATTGAGTTGAAGCCCGATTTTATAAAAGTCTGAATATACAATTAAAATCATCAACGGCTGATTAATTCCACGTAAAAATCGCGGTATTGAAGATTTCATGAAACATGAATTTTCAAGCGTTTTTGTCGACGAGCTAACGATATCGCTTTTTGCATGAGTAAAGGAAATGATGTTGATTGATTAATTCCACTCGCGAACGGCACATTTTCAAATGTTATGAAACATGAATTTTCAACTCGATTTTTTTGTAGAATTCAATTGTGGCGTTCTGTTTTCAAACCTTTTTATTCATAATCTACCATTCTAGCGTATTTTCATCACGAAATGCCTTGTTATTATCGATTTTTCGGCTTCTCGCAGAGTACGGTAGCACCATCGGAACGTCGTGATTTAGCCGCCCCCAGTAATAAAAAATCTAGGCAAGTCTCCGGCACAGAAAATAATTGTTTCAAGATAAAAGGTGCCCTCTTTGAGCTTTTCTGAAACATTTATTTCTTCAAGAAATTTGTTTTTTATTGGGTTCCAATTTTATTTCGGATTGAGTAACATTGTTTTCCAATCGATATTTGTTGGGATTTGGTGAAACATAAAATTTTATATTAGTCTAGAGCTTTACAAAGCAGCAATTACCCTTAGACTACCATTTATTCCCCTGCAATAAAACATCGGTTAAAAGAAAAATTAATTCCACGTAAAAATCGACGGATTTAGAGTTTTATGAAACATGAATTTTCAGGCATTTTTTACGACCAAAGAACGGTATAGCTTTTTGCTTTGATAAAGGAAATGCAGCTAAATTAATTCCAGTCGCAAACCGCGCATTTTAAAATTTTGTGAAACCTGAATTTTGAACTCAATTTTTTTTGCAGAATTGAAGTGTGGTCGTCTCTTTAAAACGCTTTATTGAAAATCTACCATTCCTGCGTATTTTCATCGCGTAATGCATTGGTATTATCGATTTTTCGGCTCCTCGCCGAGTACGGTAGCATCATCGGCACGTCGTTATTTAGCCGCACCAAGTACGTTTCGGTCGTTGTTTCCGGACTTTCCGGGTCTTCCGGATTGTCGGTTCGGCCTCTCGATTTTTCCTCGATTTTCTGGGGTCGGGTGAAGTAGTTTGGCTTCCGGATTTGCTCCGGAATTTTTGATTTTTCTGGAATTTCCGGTTTTACGAATTTTTCCGAAGAAACCGCCGGCCAGCGGAAGGGCGCCTGAAAAGTTACTAAATTAGGGAGTTAAATAGTATAAGTTAATGTATTTTTTTGGGATGAATCAACGCTTTCTAAAGCTTCTATCAACCATCGTCTTGAAAATACATAGAAAATTTTTTTGAAAATTTTAAAAATTGATGGAACATGACTTTTGAATTTGGGGCTCTTGCTATTTTTTTTACTTTTCGTATTTTAATTATAGAATATAGCTTAAACGCGTTTTAGGGCCCATAGAAGCGCTTAAAACGAAATGAAAAGTAAAGAAAATGGTGGTGATTTTTACGAATTTTGAAAATTGGCGAAACATTTTTTAAATTGGATTCATTGATTTTTTTAGCGATTTCTTGGCTTAATTTAGGATAAATTTAATAAAGCATTATATATTTTTTTAAATGAAGATGGCGATGGTTTAATTAATGCTTCTTAAATAAATTAATTAAGTCTACGGATAATTTCTTAATGCTGCTTCAATCCTGCGTGAGTTCAGGCCGAGCAATGGAAAATTATCCATCGGTTTTGTCCCGGCAATCACTTTTTCGATGAAACATTTTTCTACAAAGGGAAAAATTTGAAAAACGTTTTATCGTTGCTTTTGTCGCTTCAAATTTTCACGGACAAGGTATAGGCGAATTAAACAAAAAAATGTTTGCGAATATTGTTTTTTTAATGAAACCTTATTTTCAAACGGGCTTTTGAGATAGAAGCTACCAAAATTAAGACAAAGAATTTTCGCGGCAATTGCTTTTTGCTTGAAACATCGGTTTTTTAAGCCGGCTTCGTCATGTTTTTTGAAACAAACAATGAAATACCGTCATTTATTTCCTTTTTAATCTTTTAAAATTAGTAAAAAGCAGAATTATCAGTGTTCAAAATCGTTGCTTTCTCGAGATGAAAATGGTTGGAAATGGCTGTCTTTCGAAGCGCGATTTAATTTGCACGTAAGCAAATCGATGTAGTAATGGGAAAAAGTAATCGCGGATGCCGCTTTTTAGTGAAACTCCATGAATTATCTTTGTTTAATTGGGTTCTACACTTCAAAATTGATTTTTTTTTTGCGTTTTCGTATAATTTAAATGCAAAAATGCCAAGTGTCATCCAATAATCTTTAGAAAAGGGGGCGTCTGCTATTTTTTTTATGAAACATTGATTTTCTCGAGAGTTTAAAAGTGGTATTTTTTTTACTAAATTTTACTAAAGTCTTATTTTAATTATTATAATTAAATACTAAGTAACGTAAATATTTATATACTTCGAAACGCGAATTTCTAAGATAAAATAAATTTATTGAAATTCCATACCTTAAGATCCTGAATGGAGCGGCTTGCGGCGGGGATTCGGCCGGGGTGTTGAAGCTGCAAACAAGCTTACTTAATATAGTTTAATTTAATTTTATATCATCGCACATGTTCTTTAATATTTCAATGATTTCTAATTTAACGCAGCAATTTAAATTACCGGAAACTTAAAAATTATTATCAATTAAAAATTAAAAAATTAAAATTTAAGTTGTACTAAAAAACGAAGCAAAAATGATGACTACACATTACAAACTACAGTAACTATGTGTAGTAGCCAATTATACGTACGTCAATAGTAACCGTATGCCGGAAAAAACGTACCACATCCCAGGCCATCGTTCTCGGTTTGTAATGGCAGAAGCATTGCGGCCGGTCGAATTGCTTGCTACAGTAACCGCCGTGTTGGAGACCCTAAAAATCAATTGGTTTTAAATTTTTAGTTTCCTAATTTCGATTTCTTATATCGACAGAATTTTTCCATCGGAATTCCCGAAATTAGGAAAAACTCGGCCTCCCGGCCGAAATTTCTGAATTTTGCAAAAAACGTGTTGCATGAAAATTTTTTAGTAAAATAGAAATTTGGCCAGTAATCTGTCGCTGTGTACGCTTCGTTTTCTTTTCGATTTTGTTTTAAATACAAATCGTGTATATTTTAGTTCGAAATTCCTGGGTTAAATAGCCACCATTTACTCCATATAGCCCAGTTAAATTATCGTTCAAAAAAGATTGCCAGATTCGCTGAAAAAAATGTGTTTTTCTAAAACATGCGCCAAGAATTAAATAAAGTGTTCCAATAATATTTGAATCAGACTACCTTTAATTAATGAAAGTGAACTGCCAAGAAAATTACCAGATTAGGCGCATTTCCATAGGGATTTACCTAGCTTCACAAAGTGTCAAAAATATGTTCCACCAAAAAAGTGCAAGAATTTTTGAAATTCCTTAGCAATAAGACACAGCGCCGCCACCATTTTCCCCAATTAACTGTGCTTTAAATTTATATTAATTGTCGGCTATATTAAATCTAATTCGACCAATTAAATTAAATTATAGGCGTTTTCAATTTTAATTTTTTAATGTTTTTAACACACAGGTCCGTGCATCCACCCGAAATCCGCGTGGATTCCACCTGGAATTCGGGTGGAACGCATGGAAATCGGGTGGAAATCGGGTGGACGCAGTGGAAATCGAGTGAAAACACGACGCAACGCGGGCCCCACGCGTCGCGGCACCCGGAATCCACCCGGAATCCACTCGATTTCCATGTGGAATCCACTCGCGTCCGCTAGTGGAATTCCCCTCGATCCCTCCGGGATTCCGAGTGGATTTCGGGTGGGTGAACTGACCTGTGAATACAGATAATAGTTTAATTGTACCACACCTTCCCCTCGCACTCAAAATTGCAGAAATATTCGGCGAATTTCGGGGCAAAATCCATAATCAGGCAGCTGAGCGAAAATAGCGGCGTCGAGGATACGGTAGCCCAGAATGAGCACAAGATTCCGCAGTGCAACACGTGACGCATGGCGGAGCGCGGCGGAATTCCTGAAATGGGAATGGGGGACGTTTTTGTATTCGCTTAGAAAGCCAATAGAAATCGTTTTAATATTATTTTAAGATATCTATAACTTAATATAAGCTAAAAAACTCTGAAAACGTTAAAAAATATCGAAAAGTCGAAATTTTGGCGAAAAATCGGCTTTTTTCGTGGAAAATCGACGTTTTTTGATTTTTTTCAGAAAATTTTGTCGTTTTAGAAACACTTCCGTGATCCATATTTAAAACGGTTCTTAAGAAAAAAAAATTACTTCCCGCCCCCGATAATGGAAAAGAACCGAAATCGGATTTTTAATTGGAAGAATCAAACACATTTCCGAAATACTGAGATCAGCAACCACCAATTTTTTCAGTTTGATGAAACATCAAAAATTGACGAGTTTTTTTTGAACTTTTGAAAACTTGCATGAAATAATAGGGGCAAGAACAAGAACGAGAAAGATTAAATGAAACAAAACAAAATGGGATTTGAGTTTTTATGAAACATTGAAATTTTCAAAAAATAAATTTTATAATAATTTTATTTTATAATTTTACAATTTTAATAAATTCTAATTATTTTGATCGTATTACACATTGATACAAAATAAACGGTTTTGTATTTTTCAAAAAAAAAGGGAAAATTTGCACGAAGGCGAAATTGATAATTAGCAGAAATTTAAGTTGGAGGAAAGCAATTTTTGTGAAACATATTGGAATTTTGGTGGTTTTTGAAACATTGTAATTATAAAAAAATGCTATAAATAATTTCAATAAAAATTGCGAGATCTGGCCAAAATTGAACAAAACTTTTCCTAGTAATTGCCAAAAATATAGAATTCTGAAGAAAAAGCTCAACGTATTAATCAGGACCAAAAAAGCCCAAAGTTTGACTTTTATGAAACCTTTAAATTTACAGAGCCTTCGGATTTTTTATATAGTTTTTTTGTGGGATTGTTAATATTTTTACAGCATAGTATATTTATCGTTTATTATTATTGAAAAAATTTATTTTATTGTTATTTTTCAAAAAGCGAGATCTTCTGTCGATGAGTTACAAGAATTAACGGGGATTTAGGTTGGGGCCGCCAATTTTTTTTGTGAAACATGAAATTGGAATGTTGCAATCAAATTTTTTTTTGTTAAACCTCCGAATTAGGAGAAACTTGGCTTGGAATTATATGGGAAGCAGGCTTCCACGTTCCTTTAAATACACACAGAAGCTGGGGGGAAAAAGGAAAAAGACCGGGCGGGCATTCTGCCATCCGCCTCCCCCGACAAACAATACCCAGATCGTATTCAAGTGGTCACAGATCTCTTTCCAGAAGAGAGAACAGCTTCCGCTTTGCATCAAACTACAGGGTGTCCCAATGAAAAAAAGGTTCTTGTGTATTTCCGGGGGGACCAACTTTTTTTCTGTCGGCCCTGGTGGGGATAGTAATCAAATATAAAGTGTTTTCACATTGTTTTTAGCAAAATTTAAGCCTATTTGAATCGGAAAAACTTTTGAAAAAGTTAGAAAAACGCTTGAAAAAGTCGAATTGGTCATTTTTGGGCCGAAAAAAAAATCGATTTTTCGACCTAAAATTAAGTTTTTTAGTTAAATTTTGTAAAGTTTTTTATGTTTAGGAATAGCTATAAACAATTTAGAAACAATTCCACTTTTTATATAAAAAATATAGGCTTGGGCCAAAAAAAGTTCAGTTCCCCCCGGGAATACACAAGAACCTAAAAAAACACCCCCTTTAACTCGATGGAGAAGTATCGGATCGGAATGATAGTTACACCGTTCGAAAGCCCTTCAAACGGCCACTTTGCAACAATTTTCAAAAACTTATTTTTATTTAAACCCGCTATTTTACAGGCCATTTTGTAAAGTTCCTGTATTTCGTCTGCAAAAATTTTTATAAATTTACAATGTTTCATCAAAAATCAAAACATAAAATTTTCCCAGCCTTCTTAATGCGGTAGACCCACTTAGTCCAACAATTTAAAGTCGTAAAATCGTTAGCAGCGAAAGGAAATTTGTGTGCTTTCGACTAAAAATGTCTTCGAGCAGCGTAAAACACGAAAAAAAAACAAAAAACGACAAAAAGGACGCGAGGATGGGAATGTTTTTCGGCAAACCAAAATTAAAACGATTTTGTTCAAAAATCAGATGTTTCAGTAAAAATTAAAAAGATCGCCACGATCACCGTTGATAATTTGCCATCGTCTGCGGACAAAGCCATTTGTTATTTTTAAAATTTATATCTTTACTCTTTTGCGAATTTTGAATTTTTTAGGTTAATTTAAGTCTACTTTAAATGGGTTTAATAGTTACATTTTAACGAAAAAATTGTCGAATAATACAAATTCAAGTTTCTGGCAATTTAAAATGTTTCATCAAAAATTAAAAACTGAAAATTTTCGCAATTCCTTAGTTCGCGAAATTGAACGGTTTGAGGATTTAAAAGTAGTAAAATGGTTAACAGAGTTAAGCAATTTACTTATTAATAAATTTGTAGAAATTTGGTCGAATTGAAAATGTTTCAGTAAATCATAAAAATTAGATCTTTAATTTTGCTTAATTTTATGTCGGTTAGTGTAAGCGATTTAAAAGTAGCAAAAGCGTTAGCAGAGTCGTAATTTAGGAGAGCTTTCCTCTCAAAATGGCCTTCGAGCAGCCTAAAACACGCAAAAAATGACAAAAAGGGGGGAGGGGAGTGTCGTCTTTCACCGTACCCCCGCCGACTACAATGCACGCCTCTTTACACTCGCCCAAACACGTGTCAATAGACGCCTAATGTACTGGGCTTTTAAGGGTCGTTGAAACAAAGCAACACTCCGGGCAGGCTAGCAGAGACCATTTGTGGACGGTAAAAATTTCGGCAAAACCATTACTTAAACATTATTTTAGTTTTGTGATTTTTAGCATTTTTCTCGAAGTGTAGCGTTACTGTAAAGGCTTTAAATGCCATTTTTAGCTATACTGGATGTCAGTTTAAACTTTAACGTCAAAACCAGGGCTCAAATTTCAAAAAGCAAAAAGTGCGTCCCGGCCGGGGATCGAACCTAGGCCAGGCGGCTAGTGGCTTTTCTGTAGTCTGTAGTCGCAAAGTAAACGTTGTAGTTTGTAGGCTGACTGCCAGTTCCGCTATTTGCGAAAGAATTTTTGAAATCTAGCTACACACTACAAACGTGTAATTATCTGCTCAAAGGGCACGTTCAGGGACGTTTTTTTGGAAAAAGCAAAGATTTTTGCCGCGGCCGGGGCTCGAACCCGGGCCCCCGGCTCGGGAGGTACCAGTCATACCAGTACCAATACCAGTCAGCCACAGCTACAAACTGGCGAGGGGGCGAGGGGCGCCCCACGCCGCAAAGGAGGGGAATGGCCTGTCACAGCACGGGCAGGCAATGCGCGCGGTCCCTACGTCCATTGGGTGTACGCGTTGGGACGAGTACACGGCCCCTCTCTGAACGTGCGCTGTAACTGCCGAGGAGTTATTACCGTAGATCCAAGGATTTTCACAGGGGATTAAGCGGAAACATATTTTTTTAAGGTTTTTTCATCCAGGTATTTTCTTAAAAGATGTTTAGGTAAAATTGCTTGTCGGATGAAGCTCTACAAATAGCCGTAAAAACGTGAAAAAATAGCGCCGCAGGCAGCAAAATTTTTGAGAAAATAAAAATCATAAGGGTCCCCCCTTATGAAATTTTCGGGCCCCGGCCGATTTCAGGGGGGGGGGGCGGTATTACGCTACGTCCCTGAACTTGTTACTTGAAAAAAATCATCCAGAAATTTAAGTTCCGTCGAATTTTTAGTGGTTTAATAGGTCCAACTTTTACGAAAAAGACGAAAGAAAATTAATGCTACAACGATTCTCAATTATGTAAGCCCTTTTAGTGATCTAGGAAAAATGCGAAAATATTGAGTGTTTCATCTCATTTATGCCCTCCAAGTTTTTCGGAGGGTCAGTATTAGCAGTAGTCGCCTTTATGAATTAGTCGCCGGTTCATAGTCTGTAGCCTGATTCTAAGCGCTGTACTTTGTAGTCTGGAGGTCAGTTTAGCGATTCGGCTAGAAAATCTATTCCATTTTCAAAAAACAAAAAGCATACCAACGGCCGGGGGTCGAACCCGAGTCGCCAAGCTGGAAGCTGTCCTGTAGTCTGAAGCCTGATTCTAAGCGCTGCACTTTGTAGTCTGGAGGTCAGTTTAGCGAATCAGCTAGAAAAATCTATTCCATTTTTAAAAACACAAAAAGCATACCCTCGGCCGGGGGTGGAACCCGAGTCGCCAACCTGCTAGGGGATTTGTAGTTTGTAGGTGGATTCTAGGCGCTGGGCTTTGTAGTCTGGATGTCAGTTTAGCGATTCCGTTAGAAAAATTGATGCAATCTTCAAAAAGCAAGGAGTTAGCCCTCGGCTGGTGTCGAACCCGGGCAGCGCGCCCGTGAATTTTTGTAGTTTGTAGTCTGCCTATTTCCAATGATTGTAGTCTGTGGTTTTTCGAAGATTTTGCAGTTTCCTGTCGTTCTGAATTGTCGTTGCCATCATCATATATAACTTCTTTGAACGCAGAATTAAACTGAAACGTCGTTTCTGAGTGATGGTTTTGTAGCAAAATAATGTTGCAATCTTCTCACTGGCTGAAATGTGGTTTTCCGTCTTAATTCCCGTTCGCTTTTAGTGTCCAGCATTTACGAGAAAAAAAAATATATTAACCTTTTGAAATTTGGAGATAAAATTGACCAGTTACCATGTTTTTTTGCGGTTTTTCCTATCTTTTTTTGTTATTTATTTATTTCTTTATTTTTGCGTCGATTTTTAAGAAAACCAGGTGTTTTCCTGCATAACTTTACAATTTTTCGATTTACGCTCCGCCCCCAAAATTTGCCTGAAATGTGGAAAAGCTGCAAAATGAGAAATAGAAAAATATAATTTTTGTCGTATAAATAACTCAAAAATTTGAAAAGAGTTTTTACAAAATAGTGTTGCACGAAACTTT